AGAGGAGTTGAATTTACTTTACCCGGTAACAAGGATCAAGAAATCTCCTCTCAAGGAATTGTCTAATTTAGTTTTAGAATATAACTTGCGACGGTAAGTTATACAATTGGAAGATCCAGAGACGTCCGGATTTAAAGATTGTAGAAGATCAAAAATAAACTAATTTACAACAACAAAGTATCTACACAAAACCCGATCAACCCGCGTATGTTCAATAATTTATATCGTGATTTAATCTCATCACATGAAAAAAGAAGTCCGAAAAAGAATAAGAACATGATAAAATGAATAATCATCCAACCGTTGCTCAGATTCTGTATAATCCGAAATCCTTCATCTCTCGTTCTCAGGTCCCAACCAGTTGCGACTCCAAACGCTGTCACGTATATCAAAACAGACGCAGTCGGCACGTAAAGCAATTCCATGCCCATCCCATCCGTGTCCACGTTGAATGAACGTGACGTCAACACAGGACGTTTAGACGAACACGTGTCCAAACTGAAAATCAGAAAAAGGAATTACCGCACTGCATTTTTGATTTGAGATCAGAGGGAGTAAAAGTAAGAGACCGGGTATGGTACTCAAAACGTACTTAGGAGTGAAAACGGCTACGGTACTCTTTTCTCTTCAGCGGTTTTCAAATCTTAAGCTATGCCCATGCAGAAGAGCAACGAAACTGCAGTAGTTGCGATATCTCGAGATTTTCATAAAACACGTGCACAAACAAAACAAGATCCATCTTCAATCCTTTTTTTTTTTACAAATTTCACCAGTAAACATACCAACCTTACTGCAGCTACGTTAAAGAATGTATAAAAAATGACCTAGAAGTAAATACAGTAGACAGTAGGCGCAGTTAGAAATTAATCGTGGCTAACACGACATCAACCCACGTGGAAAGAAATTCGTCATTATTGCGGACAAGCAGCAAAATCAATTATGCGATCATAAAACTCATAAATGCGCAATGAATTTCGGGACAACGTGCTTCATTTGAATACACTCACCCGAAAATATCCACAGTTCCGTTTCCGTTAAGCGTGGCTATCACTTCTTCTTTACTACACCAAACTCCAGATCTCACGGGGACTCCACTGTTGTATATCAGACGATTTCGAAGATTGTCCAAAGCTGCAAAGGAAAAATTTAATTTCCAAAAACTCGCCTTCGTATAACTGACGCAAATCATTCAAGGACAAAATAGTACCGTACAGTACTGTGAAAGGAGATAATGGACCGCTTGTATGTCATTCAAATGCAAAATAAATAATTATTAGCCTCCAATGTGCTCGATGATCATAAGCGATTAGTCATGAATATCTGCAAGACGAATTGGGGCGCCCAGGGATATATTCAGGTCAAATTTTAGGCGATCAAATGCGACCGAAGCTGGCAGAAAACCATAGAGAAACAGTCTCATCTGAAGTTATGCGAGGATTAGAAAGAATGAATAAATGGGTGCAAGAATGGCTGATAGGTGGTTCATTTTGGTTCAATCAACATCCGCTGGATTTGTAAAAAGGGAAGGATTAAACAAAACACTCTTCTCGCTTGATATGATCAATCCAATATTTTGCGAAAAATTAAAGACGATCTCCCGAATGAAAAACGGTGTCGGCAATCAGTCAATCCCCATATGAGTAATTTATAATTCCTAATTCCGTTATTTAAACCAAAAAGGCGAAGAAATTCCGAATTTACATGATTATTCCGGATAAAATCAAACAAGACCCACTGGCATCCCATAAACGAACGGTGCGAAACAATACAATATTTTCGCTCGATTTAATCAATCCAACACATTATTCTTGAATACCATATTCTCCCTTTGAATAAAACGAACGATCTCAACACAGTACTAAAAACGGCACCTTCAGTCAGTCAATCCCCAAATGAGTGAATTCTAATTATACAGTACTGTACATTCTTTCAACCAAAAAAGCTGAGGAATCCAACTCGACACGATTTTCCCGGATAAAATCAAAAAAGACTCACTGGCGTCCCATAAACGAACCGTTCCATCATTCGAAGAACTCGCAAACATTCCACCATCCCCTACCCCGGTGATGTTGAACAGTTTCGTCACACACTCTCGATGATCCCCGACATGATACACAAGCTTCCCAGCTGGAACCCAGGACCGAAGAGCTGATTCGTTCATGGACCCTCCTCCAAGACTCGAGGACGACGTGGAGCTCGTCACGTCCACCCCAGTGCTCCGAGTTTGAAGACCCGTCAGGGAATCTTGTATCTCCTCAACACGACGTTTCAACAGCTCCTTCAGCTCGGAACGACACGGCTTGCAACGATCTGGATGAATGAATTATCAACGATTTGAAATACTTTAAAATCTTTTTTGTCATTAAAGTCGCACCTCTCTAAGTCGAATTTCAAGGGACAACCAAAAACATTTGACTTAGGGAGGTTTCTATTCAGAGAGTTATCGAGTTCGGGAGGTTTTGAGTCAAGGGAAGAAGCATTTTTGCTGTGGGAAACACAGAATTAAAGGAAATTTTAATTGGTGATATACTGGGCTTTAAATTGCTTCCTGAATGAGATGAAACAATGCTGAAACCGGAGGCTGGGGTTTATTTGCCCAATTCGTCTTTCATTTCCTTTCAAAGCAAATTACTTTTTACTTTTTACTTATTACACATTTTTACTTTGTTTATCGCTTTGCTCTTTCCTGTGTCAAGAAAATAATAGCCGAAAGGTCTGAGAAAATTTGAGTCATGGAGGTTTGAGAGGAGAAGACTTCAAGTTGGACAGGTTTTTAATAAATTGTTTCCAGGAGAATTCAGACTGGGACTTGAAAAATTCGATTTAAGGAGGCATTGAACTTAGGGAGGTTCGAGTTATGGTGCTTAACGTGTATAACGAATTCATGCATTTCAAAAATTTGTTCTTTCTTTCTCTGCATGTCCAATTGCCACAATACTTTTACATTTCGTTTCAACGAATTTTCATTCATAACGAAGCTTTTCTAAGGTCCCAAACGCTTCGTTGAAACGAAATTCCACTGTTTACAACACAGGTAAACGTAAATATTTTCACTGCGATACTCAAGGGACAAAAAATTATATCCTTAATGAAGAGCCTTTTATTGTCGAGGACCTCGGTGTCGTTCTTCCAGTTCGGAGAGAAAGGCTCACAAAGATTTGGATTATTGACATTTGAAACATTCAACAAACGTATTTTCACAGCGATACCCGAGGGAACAAAAAGATATCGTAAAAGAAAAGCATTTTTTTATTTAAAAAAAAAAACTGTAAATGACCGGTAAATTTTTAGCATCCCCACGAGCAGGACCACAAAAAAATTGCACAAAACGGGGAAAAAAAATCCTGTCATGCAAAAGAGAAACAATCATTGAAAATAAAATTACGATCGACTGAAACTAAGATGTTAAAACAGTCCAACTGAAAAGATTACTTTTTTTCCACTGACCGACACATCCTCACAAATGCAACTTCGTACGTAGGGACTCACACTACAATACAGTAGTACCGTATATTTTCGTTCATCTGTGCATCTCATTTCCAAACCGTTGTAGCAAAGCCCTCTCTTTTCAAAAAGAAATAGAAAATCGTAAATAAAACCGGTCTACCATGAATATAAATTCTACCGCAAGACAGAAATAAAATAAAAATCATCATTTTACACACATTGCATGCAAATAAAATGTGGATTCTCACCACCTTTGGAAAAGTTTCATTCTTGCTTACATTCCACGAAGTTACTATCCAAGCTTTTGTCCTGGCTGATCCGAAGAGAGCTTTCATCGCTGCTAGCGGATTCCGAAGGGTTCCAAACAACTGGTGGACCGACTGTGGATCCATCCAAGGGTGCATGCGATTTTTCCGGAAGAACTGTATCCAAGACGTGGATAGGTTCTAATGGTCCTCTACAAAAAAAAATTAAAAAGCATTCAAAACACATTCCTGCAATTAATCAAACCGAAGTAGCTTACAGAAGTGGGATTAGAATTTACAGAAGTGGGATTAATTACGTTCAGTAACATCTCGAATTCCGAGCCTCGACGAAAGAAAAACAAAATTCTAGTGGTAGGGTTAAGGTCAGTGGTTTTGTTGATTCACTGGGCGTCTATTTGAACATTGTCCAAGAAAAATCTTCATTAGTCCAGAACATGTTTCCGTTTAAAATGAAGTACACTTTTTTTCAATCACAACGTCTAAAAACGTTTTCTGTATGCAAAAACGTTATAAAAATACATATTTCCTTACAAAAATGTATCTTTCACGGACGGAGATACGGATAGTTCGAGAGGCACATCCGCTTTTTGCGTGTCTCCAAACATGTGCTGCCATTCTCGGTTCATGTTCGCGTTCAATGAACCCCCGCCAAAACTCGCATGACCCCCCGTGTCGACCATCGATGCCGGGGACGACGTTTTCCGATCCTCGGAGAAAACGTCGTCCGAACGATGTTCCCAAGGTGGCGAAATGCTCCGTTTCAGGGGTCCGATGTACAAGTCCGTCGTCCTTTTAATTACCGTTTCCATGTCAACCTGTATATGCGCAGAAAAACGAATCGTGCTATTTACGAGATTTTGAATTCAACATACATACATTTATCTTCCGACTTGGAAAATGTGCGTCGAAAAGAGGCTATATACAGAAATTGAATCCGAAATCTGTGGACAATTTCTTTTTTTCAATTACAGTACAGTATTAAAACAATTAAAGCTAGAAATCTGAATACATTGAATAGAACCAGGTTTCAATGCAAAAGAGTTTTAACCACGATTATTTCGGGTTTTCATTCGTCTTATACGCATACCTTGCTTTTTTTAGTCATTCGATATTTAAAATTTCCCCTGAAAAAATGGTTGAAGTGAAGAGAAAAGCTCATCAAATTACTGTATCCGAAAGTCGGTTCAGTACTGCAAATAAAGTAGATTCAAGAGAAGGATAAATGAAATGTTCATTTCCTTGTCTATCATGGTGTATAATACTCTGAAAAGCGAGCGAAACTTTCTAGTTCACCCTACGCATTAATGTGAATTTTTATACGAATCACACAAAATCGTTTCAGTAGACATGCAAAAAATGGAATTCGAAATATCACGGTTGATGATTCAAGCTTTTTCTTTACTGTGTGTCGTTTCCTCTAAAAATTGATTCGAAGTTTTTGACAAAGTTTATCGCAAAAGGGAATGAAACGACACCAGGGGGTGAAAGGATGATAGACGAAATCCACAATTCAAAGTTTTCAAGTTATCTAAACAAAGTTCACTATTGAATGATGAGCCCTGAAAATTAAAAAAAAAAAAATCTGCGACTCGTGTCGCCAATTTTCTGACCCGAAGTTGTAAAATTACGGGTAAAAATCAAGATACTGTATGTTACTTCAATTCATAATGTTCAGGAAATGGAACGCAACGTAAAACTATTTTTAAACCGACGGTAAGATAGAAAAAAAAGTTAAAAACAGGACAAACGTACCGGTCCCATCATAGACGTGCTTTTGTGAGATGGAGAAGGTCGATGCATGCGCAACAGGTTCTCTTTCATCGCCAATAAAACAGCACATCCGTCTCGTCCGAGGCCATCCGAATACAATCTCTTCACGAACTGTAAAATATTTGTAAGAAACTCCGGATTGAAATCATATTTATGTTTCACAACTTAGAAGAGTTTTAAAATTTCAAGGATTGATTCTTCGGGGTGAATGAACGTTTCAAGTAATGCCGTTTATCACGAGTATTTTTGATTGTACAGGTACTGTACTTCCGTTGAAATTCTGTCGTCGTATTTCAGCATGAAGAAATCTAAAGACCGTAACACAAATTTTTCTATTCCCCTACTGAAGAGAATAGTCAGCAGCTTTTCGAGTTTGAAAAACATTCCACGCTCAATTGTGTGGAAATTCAATAGAAAATGCTCGAACTATGTCAGGCAGAACTTTTCAATGGTACACCGGATTGCAAAACTACTCAGAAACATGACCGGGAGTAATTTTTGCTAAACTTGAGACTAAGAGTGAGACTTGAAATCATCATACTGTTACTTCAGGGTGAATAAACGTATCAAGTGATGCCATTCAAAACGACGGTTTTCGATTGTTCACTCATTTACGTTAAAACCTCGACGCTGAATTTTAAAATAACACATGATTAGAAAGTTTTCTCTTCTCTCACTGACGAGAAAATTTGGCAGCTTTCCGATCTTGAAATACTTCCAACACTTATTTGTGTAAAAAATTCGAAAGAAAATGTTTGACGCACGCGAGGCAGAACTTTCCAATAGTATCCCGGCTTGAAAAACTGTAATGTACTTCAAAACATGACCGAAAGCAGTTTGTGCTAAACCTGAGATAAAAGAGCAAGACTCGGAATCATCAATGGTAACTCACATTCACTACTGTAGGATCTAGTTCGACCGGTTTCGGAGGAAGTCCCTCCGAAGCATTTTCATGGGCTTCGATCACGTCGAAAACTTTGCTCAAATTCGGCACTCTCAGCAGCTGGTAGAACACCAGTCGTCCAATCGGTTCTTTCAAGAAGTCCCACAGCACAACCTGTACATAATCACGACCCGGATTCAATTCAACCACACAATCACTGTCAATATTTTACCAACTTACTACGTCACGAGCAAACCCGACCGGGGCTCGCGTGTAGGGCGAAATTCGTGGCATGATTTTGGCATTCACGTCCACAGGAGACAACATGCACATCACACTCGCGAAAAATCCCACGACAGACTGCCGAATCCAAGGGTTAGGATGGCATAAATATGGAGCTGTTTCTGCTGCAAGGTCGTAAATGATATACTTGTCCAGAAGACCAATGTCGACCAAACTCATCATGGCCCAGACGGCTTTTGCGATCACAAATTCCTCCGTATCCCTCAGACCCTAACGAAGAAATCTTTTCATTATAACACCCGGAACAAAAAAGGAAATCTCACGCGTTCAACGCTGCGTACAAGGGTTGGATTAGGTTACGAATGGGCTTCAATTTTTTCTCGAATTCCAGTGGATTCGGAAATGAGTACAAATGATGCCAGTACAGAAAAACTACTGCACTGTATTATTCAAATCTGTTCTCCCCCTGATTACTGTATTCCTCTCGTACCATCTCCAGATCACAAGAAATGCGGTACTCGTCATATGTTCTTGTTTAAATAAACATTATCCCTCAAACCTCTCCTATCATGTAAATCTCAATTGTACCTGATCGGCGTTCGACCTCGAATATCTAGGCAAAAATAAAAATTCCATCGAAACGACACGGACACTCTATGGAAATCTTGAGCTCAATCATAACCATCGAACCCCCAGACAAAAACGTCTGGACAGAACTAAAAACGAATTGTTTTCCATGCCTGAGGAAGTTGATAAAAGTTTGGTACCTGGAGCAGAAGAGGCTTCAAAAGGTTGCAACACGGACGGCCAATATAAGACACGATCCCAACCACAGTATCATAGAAAGCCAGCCTCAACTTCGTGTCGTCCTTGTCATTCAAGAATGTGATCATGTGCGAGAATATAATGTCATTTGCTGTGTAAAAAAGAAGAAGGAAATTAGTGTTGATCAAAAAAACTGCTCACAACGATTATAAAGATAATTCATCACCTCCGTTTCGGCCGAAAAATATGCAAAGTCGCGTGAGATTCTTCCTCATTAGAGTGATCTTCACGGAGTTATCCGGGTCTGTGAGAAGTGCGGAAACTTTGCTCTTCACCCAGTCTTGAACCCATCGCTTCTCAGCCACCAAAGACTCGTAGGAAGTGTTGTCCGTAGTTATCTTCCACCTCGGGGAATCAACAGCGAAAGAGCTGATAACACCAGAGTTGCCACTGACATTGCCAAGTACCGAGTCCCAGCTTTTACTGCTGCTCGCACAATTCAGTTCCACATTTTCAATGAATCTGCAATCAACAGATCAGATCCAAATTCAAAAATAAAAAAACTTGCGCCAAATGAAGGCGGGCGGGTTAAGCAACATGTAGATTTGATATAACGCCATCTCATTTTTACGCGAGTATACAAGACTTTTTCTGACAATCCAAAGCGGATATGGATTGAAAATGTCGACTACAATGACTATGTCCACATGATCTCACTTTCAGAACACAATTTCACAATGACTTGAACCTCCCTATGTCAATTTTAAAGTCCCTGCCTGAATTCTCTTGGAAAAATGCATCAACAACCTTTCAAACTTGAAGGCACTCCCTCTCAAACCTCCAGAACACGAATTTTCTGGAGACCTTTTTGTTATTGTGGAAATTGGGAACAGGGTTTGTGTTTCTTTGTATAAAAGCTAAAAATCACAGCCTTACTAATCAGGACCTCCTATATATAGACTGGACAGTCACTAAAAAAAAGGAAAACAAGGAAGGAATGGTTTACTCTTCATTGATTTCTGCATGTATAATTATTCAATTATATTATGTCCGGCAAAAATTACCCCCAATTATTTATACAAAATCCCAAAAAAGTTTTTCCAATGCTCAAGGGTTAATTTGTGTATGCTCAACATTTGATACCTTTAAGACAAAACAAAGGGTGGCTCCTTGTTTGTGCACCTCGGGTGACACCCCTTGCAACTGCTGGGGTGAATCATACCCAGATGGTATTTTGCTGACTCGGCTGCTACCCAGATGTTGGGATATGTTTTTGGCGCGCATATTTCAGCTGGGGATTTTCCAGACTCTATATAGTGGGAAGGGGTATTAAATTACAAGAGAATCGCCGATCTGCAGTATTGCCAACCTCTTCTCAGACCCATCTCATCATGCTCAAAAAACTTGTTGGCCAGAATGCTGCTGTATTTCCTTACTGCTAAAACGGGATTTGGATTTTGACTTGCAGTGTTTGCCTCCTCATTATTTTATATTAACGACAAAAATCACCAAGACTAAACAGCACGCTTTACAGCTTCTGTTCAAATAATTGTAATTTGCATCAGACCAATTGAATTGTATAAAACTGTATTTACTTTTGTACACATGTCTAAACTTGGCAACTTTATACAATTTCTGTGAATATTTTGTTGGGTATTTGTGAGTAAACCTGCAATTTTAATTCACTTTTCCTCTATTTTAAGACTAGTAACCACACTCAAACAGACAAAATAACTTCGCAGCATTTGCTGATTTAATTTGCAGCAACTTTTTGGGGAGTTAAAAGGTATTGTTATTGTCCTCTCGTAGTGAACTGAATAAAGGAATCTTGTGTTATTCCCAATTCAGATGCCTATAGTACAGTAACTAGCCAAAATTTTGTACAAAGTCTGTCTTTCTATGGAGCCAACTTCAGAGAGCAATTTACAACTACACCTCCTCTGCTGAGGACCAAAAATGTCTGGAACTGAGCAAAATAAACCCTGCACTACAGTGGCCCTGCTGAACAACATCCTACAGCCAGCTAAATTTAAAAATGTGTAAAATATCTCCTAGTTGTAACCACTGGTGTGCAGTAAATCAGAACCCATATCTTGATTTTTCGAAGAACAATCCAAGAAATATCTGGGGGGGGACTTTCATACTATTATTGACACAGAAAATATAAACGCAATAAAAATGTAACTTGATGCGATTTGAAAGGAAGTGAATGAATAATTGAGCAAATAAAGCCTTGTCTTCATGTTCAGCATCCTGTCAACTCATTTGAGAAGCAAAATCAGGTTCAGAATATCACCAATTACAATTTCCTGTAATCTTTTATCTTTCTTTGAATGCTTGTTTACTCAACTCGAAAGCTAGTCGAATGTATTTTCCTCGTCCCTTCAAGATCGACTTAAGGAGGTTCAAGTGTAATTAATGGTACGTGATCAAATTTTTTTAGAAGCAATATCGTAATATGAAGTATTGTCTTTGAGGATATACTGTCATTCAAAAGTTGCGATTTTTGGTCCACCGCCAAGAGAATATCATATTTTCATGAATACCACTAAGCAAGTGAAACCTCGTTTTCTCAGCAATTTTTCGATGCGCTCTCTTGCATTAGGGCATCTCACACAGCATATGCACAAATACAGATTTGTTCAGTTTAAAATTAAATGGGAAATGCGTGGGATAAAATTGTCCTTATCATTAAATATAAAATGACCTCAATTCATCGTATAGCACTACTAACCGAGCAGCAGTTTCCGCCAAAAGTCCAATATTCGCAGCTAAACTGCAACGCACTGAACTGTGGAGGTCAGTGACAGTAGCACTGATCCCGGGGAAGATGAATTCCGGAAAAACGTTAGCATCCGAACCGTGCAAATCCGTAAGACTGATCCCCGACAAACACCTCGTCAAGCAGTTCAAGGCTTCGCAACGAACACGAGCCGATTCGTCCTTCACCAGCTCTACCTGAAATCATTCGAAATGTCATCGGTTTCACAAGAATCGATTGGTTAGAAAAGAGGAAAAAACTAGGTTCACCATAAACGGAACTATTCGATCCAGAACAAGGTCATCAGGTAAGCGTCGGGAAATCTCCTCGAGTAGCTCAAGAACCACCAACCTGCTTCCACAAAAGTGAAGCCCTCTGTCGGGAAATTAACGAAGCAACGTTTACAACACAAAATATCATCAGCTTTTTCTTTCAACGAGGAAATTCGAAAAGAGATATACTGTACGTTCATTAATTTCTTCCATTCCTTTTTCGCTAAGATCAACATTTATCGAAATTAGATGAAATACAGCTCCGGATCCGTACCAACCTTATTGAAGCTGTGACTACAGAAGCAACCAAAACTAGCCCGACTGAATTTTTCTGACCAAGTCTCCATCCTTGACTTTCGTGGACTTCGAAATAATCTTCTCCGGATGACAACGAAGAAACAGACCGGCCCAAGACTATGTTATTCGAAACATTTTGCTCCTCCTCTTCTCCGAAGTGCTTCAGGATTTCGTGGAATGATTCCTTAATTCTGAAGAATAAAAGGATTATTCCACATATTTCATAATTGACACGACCGAAATCAAATATTCAAAGCTCGAAAAATCGTCACCATTTGTCGGTGAGGTTTGTGGCGGTTAAATTCAAAACGGGTTTCTCAAAAACGTAAAAATAATATGAAAATTAGGCATGTAATAGGAAACAAAACTCTGGTGGTGGGTTTTCTCATTCTTCTAGAAAACCATTAAAATAACTCGGGTGCGCGTAAATGCGGAAACTGGAATCTTAGTGGCGGACTATCCAAGACCAAATTAATTGGTAGGAGAATATTAAGAGTTCTTATTTCAGCGAATGGCGTTTCAACGAGGTTTCCCATTCTGTAATTTCATCAATAGGGAATACTTGTTCTTTTTCAATAAATTGGCGGTTGCCGGGGGGTGCAAAAAAAACAGAATACTCACATTGACATTTTATCATCCAAAATGTTAGAGGCGTGATCAAATGTCTTCCTTACGAATTTGAACCAGTATTCAAAATAATCAGGGAAAATCGTCCCAACGTAAGTCTCCAGCGCTGCATTAGCAGATAATCGGTCACACGGATCAATGCAGATCAAGTTTCCCACCAATTGCTAACGGAAGAACGACAAAAAACAAACACGGTTAATGTACTTTCAACTGCAAATAGAACCAAGTATGATACTTTACCTTGCAATGCGGATCTTCGATGAGACTGAGAATCTGTTCAGGATGATATTTTCCGTACTTGAACGCCAGCAACTGACTCAGCTCGAACAAGCATTCTCCTTCGGTGAAAACTTCAGCGAGAACACATCTATCAAAAATTTAAGGATTTTGCAAGTAAAGCCATCAATGATTTGGCCACAAAGAAGAAAATTATAAAACCTTCGGGTTCAAAAGGAAACTTATCCAACCAAGTTGAAAGAAACAGCACGACTATTGCGCCTGAAAATTATGTGCAGTAAACCAAATCAATTCTGCCAACGCTCGAACTAATCCGCAATTTCCATGCGCTTTTTTTTTTGCGAAATGATTTCTATAATTAACAAACCCTTTTCTCCGAAATGGTATACCCAGTTTTCAAAATAACGATCTCCATAATTTTCAATTCCAAAGATAAGTTTGAATGGCGGGTCTTCCGTATCAAAATATAATTCAGCATGTCAAACTTCTGAAATAGCAGGCACAATAAATTCCAAGCTTTAGTTCGAATCCTGCTTTTCATAATTTTATTTTGACCGCAATTCAACAAATCGTAAATCCGATTAAATTTTCCGGATCACGTTGCAAGATGCTTTATTTTTGAATAAACGTGTCACGAGGGACTCTTGTTCTGAATGTTTCGAGCCACCCTACTTCGATCAGAGAAAGTACAATCGAAGAAGAAATTTAATATAAATTATAGTACAGTAAATCCCAATTTGACATTATTTAGGAACATGGCATACTTGCTTTCCCTCGCTTCAAAACCATGTACAACAGAAAACATCTTCAAATACTGGAGACATGCGTTCATGGCTTCATCTTGCCATGACGAACTTTATTTTATTTACATCAAGAGAAACCGGAAGTTTCCTTTAAAAAAAACGAATAAAATACCAGAATTACCCAGCTGAAAACATGTCCATTGACTGATGATAACCTCCGATATGAGGGTTTTGGTCTGAAGACGGTATTCTCAGGCCTTGTTCCTTTGCCAAGTCATCATCGATAGCCAAAGCTTCCACAAACCTGAACCATAGAACAGTGATAATTTCCAATACTAGAGTCGTGGAAAAAAATAATAATTTAGGAAAAACTGAATCACCTTTCCGGAGCTATGTAACACTTTCTTTTGCCAGAAGTATCGAAAAAATAGGCAAAATCGGCGGGATTGTCCACGGGGAGTTGGACGGGTTTGAAAGATGCAAAATCAGTAAAAAACATGGACTGCCAACTCGAGATCATTATGTTCTCAGTTTTCAAGTCTCCGTGGAAAATCTGCGAATAAATACGATTTTGTCAAACGTCAATCAAAGGTTGAATCTTTCTACAACAAACTCTGAGGGACCAGAAAAAAATTCGCTGTCGAGAAAGTTTCGTTGTAGAGCACCCCCATAAAAAACAAAAAAGATGTACATAGCATACTGTCATAGAAAAAACTATCGTAGAAAGATTCCTCTTGTATTTTGCTTCTCTTCCAATAAAATTATTTTAGATTATTTAGAATAAAAAAAATTGGGTGCCTTAGATTCTTCAGAATATCATCGAAATAAAAGGAGAAATTCTTTTGATCTGATCCTTGACTGGCAAACATCATTTCAAAACGCGTTCGCCACGCCATGACATACCATTCCAAAAGTTTGCACTGCTTCATCTAAGATTGGCTGTGAATTTATGCACAGTAGTTTTCGCAAGATAATCTGGAATGATGCGACGCAACCAAGTACTGTACATACAAATATCGACGCACATTTATTTCGATCATGTCTCGAAATGTTCCAAAATTTGCAAGTACAGTACTTTAATTCAACATAAGATGAAAAAAAAACCGCGCCACGAATGTCAACAGTTTCATGTTCGTTCATTAAATATGACTCCAAAAATCAGAACACTGTAATTTTCTCCCCTCGTGCTCTCCATAAAAAAAATTGGAACTTACGTTTGCGTGATGCAAATCTTCCAAATTTCTCAGCAACTGATATGCAAACCAAGCTTTCTCCAGCGGCAGCATAAATGGTCGGGTGTTGATGCGATCATAAAGACTGTACTTGAAATACGGTCGGTAAATTATGGCGGATTTATCCGAAACTCCCAGAACTTCATAGGGCATGCAGTTCGGGTGTGCTTTCAGTTGATCACGCAGATCTGTCGCCAAAATAAACTAAAATTGTATTAAATTCGCAGTCACACGCTCTATTGTTCGCCAGAATTCGTTCCATCGACTTCTAAAAAAAAGTAACCATCCTCGAAGGATACTCGAAAGAAAGCAGGCGCTTTGTGATACTCGCACGCTTATTTATGGAATAAAACTATATTCTGTGCGATTTATGATAGTATTCCACACAAAAAGAGACAAGAACATGCCTGTTCCTTGAATAAATTTGCATTGAAAAACCCAATTACGTGCTGAATCTTCGGCAGAGAAAATTCACGAACTCGCCTAAACTTTTACAGCATAAATAAAAAATTCCTTCCGTAGCTCCTGACCATTTCGAAATTTAAAAACGTGCGTTCTGAGTTTGACAATCGGCGACCGGGAAATTGTCTGCGTGCAGCAATCATCCGCATTTATTCGCGATAAAACCTCTTCGTGTCGAAACCATCAATTTCTGATACATTGAATACAAAAGTGAAAATATTTAACCTTTCAGTCGTGAAATGTGCGGTTTCAAGGGCAGCGAAGGATCATGGATGACAAAAACTTTGACGGTGACCCAACCTTCGTTGACATCGTCAACCTTCGCCCTGGCAACCTTCAAGAACCGGGTACTTCCCAAGCTAGACAAATAAAACAACAAAACAAATCAACACACCTCAAACCTCACGGAACCCGGACTACCAATCCCTCACCTAGAATCATAACTCAGTCCTCGAATCCGAGTCAAATAGTGTTCCACAGGGAAGATCTCCGAAGGTGCGATCGCACCCAGCTGATTCCCCATCACAAACGAAACTCTCCGTCCAACATCCTGAAAATCGATCAAGCATGCATGAAATGCAGTAAATCAGTAGAGGTCAAGGCCAAGAAAAATGAATGAATACGAATGTCTCGTAAGCAGTGGTCCACCTTTATGGCCAGCCTAAAAATACATGCTTTCATAAAAGATTTCTCCGAAACGAACCCCACAATGAAGTGCTAGCACTGGAATGAACGGAATGGTTCAAGTCGATGACAATAATCTCCAGCACAATTTGTTCATGTAGTTACATTTCATTCGGATAAAACTCAAACTCGAAAAATTTTTACAAACATTTCACAATATAAATGGACAAGCAGAAGCTATTTCCAACGGGCACCGAAGTCCAGCTGGTACAAAGCTTTCGAGTCGAGTTCCCACGGGCAAGGGCAAGGCAAGACATCAAGACACTTGCATCAAGAAGACCACAAACATTGTCTCTCTTCGCAAAAAATAAAATAAAACAAAAAAACGGATAAGCTTTAAAAAACGGCGTTGACAAAAAATGCAGAAGCAAAAGCCCCCCACAAAACACAAAAAGGCACAGCAATCCACTTCGTAAAAGCCCTTTATAAAAGCATACCCAACTTGGGGCGCAGTTTCTCTTGCTTCCAACGCGATGGGGAGACAATTGAGATCTCGAACAATACAAGAACCTGGGCAGATGAGGGAAGATCAGAAAAAGTAACTTAAAAACTTGAGATGGCACAATTCTTGCCTGGAACAGAGAAATTGGTAAACCCACCAAAGCAAGCTCATTCTTTTTCATGTCATAGAATGCTTTTGAAAGATATCACCAGGAAAAATCCCCTTTTTCAAACTGCGCTCTCATAAGTTGACTCACCAGAAGAAAACGAGTTCAAAATTTGAAAAAAAAAAAAGGACGAGAGAAAAATAGGTTTTGACTGCAGCTCTCAGATCATACGAAGAGACTAAAATCCATCGACTCACACCTTCAAACACATAATTCTGCCCCAATTCAGTGCAAATGAACGGAAGAGCAGTGACAAGATCAAATGTGCCATTGAGATTCCAGATCAAGTGCCTTGGCATTCAACAAACGAAAAAAAAAACGGGAACAATTAACCTAAAAGCGTGGAAAAACGGAACTAAATTACAAAGAATGCCCGAAGTTGAGAGATTTCTGAAGGAGGTGCCCACGAAGTTTAGAAAACCGCAGATCCCCGGAACACATATTTACAAATGTCATACACTGATCAACTTTGAAGCGGATACCATTCACGCGATTTACATTTCTAAGCTACACGCACTAGCAGGTCCCTGAAGTCACAAAATGACCAGTTCAGGAACTAAAAAAAAAAATTTGTTTCCAGATGGCAGATGACATCTAATTTGTTTCCAAGACTTCGGATTCATGTTGCGTTTGCAAACTGAAAATGAATTTGCTACATCTCCTTGCCTACTTCGTTTGTAAGATGTTCATATTCTTTCCCTACTTAAGCATCCTCTTGCACCGGGGGTGGTGGTGGCTCGTTCGGGGGCTCGGCAGAAACTGTCTCGGGCTCCTCCACGACTTGCTCAATTGCTTCGACTTCAGGTTCATCCTCGACCTTCTCCTTCACCCAGAAAATAAACGCTCTTTTGAATCGATGAAAAACAATACAGTACAATCAACCCGAAAGCACAGTATGATTGGCTCAACAACAAAAAATTACTGAATAACACAGCACTATGTGTATGGATAGGAAACTCGGCACACGAATTTGCATCGACCATGAACACAAACATGCGCATATAGACCTTGCATTTCGTAATTTCATACGCGTCTCCTCATCAGCAATTGAATGAACACAGCTACCTTAACCCAATAACAAGTTTCAGGTGACATCTATGCTATAAAAATATCAGTCTGAGACATCGGGTTATGAGGCGAACAGAAGAAAAACAGCATAACTAGATCCCGGGCAGATCAGAGAATGTCTTCATATCTTTTCAACAGAATCAAGAACAATCACACCTTCATCACGTAATAAATAATGCTCAATCATTCAACTTTTTTCTTCGAATAAACTCGCATAACAACTCGCATAACTTGAAGCTACAGCTACGGTCATCATTGATAAGAATCTCCCAGTTGTTCCCAGAAACAAATAATGAAATTTGCAATTTAGTAAATTATTTGACTGATCACAAATGACTACTCCCATAATACTCTATCGTCACACACTATCGTAATCTGAGATAAACTTTGGGGGAAATTAAATTAAAAAAAGATAAAATTCGAGAGACAACGAGGGAGAAACTAATTTACCGATACACCCAGACTTGAGAGTATAATTATGTGTTTGATGAAGGATTCACAAAGGAACTCCCCGGAAAAGCTCTACTCACGGTCTGCTGCACAACTTCCTCCCCAACCTCATTGTCCTGCTCAGCGATCTCAGTCGACTAAAAGGAAAATTACGAGATCGAGCGCCATCAGCGAAGGACAACGAGATGTAATTTTGAAATTTGAACCATCGAAATTCATGTACACTTCAATGCAGACTCTTGCTTTTACTCTTTTGAAACAAAAATTTTAAAATTCTGAACATCACTAGAATTGACTAACTACCAGGAAAAGGTTTTTTCGTCATTTCTTGTGTTCCAAACATGCCACATGGATCAGTGATTCGGTGGAGAAAAAAATAAACTCACATCTGCCTTGACAACTTCCTCCTCAGCCTCCTTCGGCTCTTCGGTTTTCTCGATCGACTGCAGAAGGCAAAAAGGAATTTAATATGCGGTTTTGTACAGTACTAACAAAAAGGATCTTGAAACATAATCATGCAAATAAGGGATTAACTCTGACAGCATCACGCAAAGCAGGGATCAACTCGAACAGCATCATGCGATACCAACACCAATTAATTTTTGCAATTTTTGTAACTGGAAAGTACTGTAGTCAAGATTTTTTTCCACACGCTGAATAAGTAGAAGACAAAAAAAATCCAAGACGTTCATTGCTCCGAACACTATCATCGGAATTATGACTCATTCGCGGTTCGTTATAAAGCTTTCATGTTAAGAAAACAGACGATGAGTCATCGTCCGGTTCCGTACTTGTGCACCAGGAATCCCAAGGTCATCATCCCGCACTTCATCGCTCCCATGCAGAATAACCAACAGAAATATCGTAATTTTTTCAACAAACGTAATTAAACGTACTGTACATTGAAACAAGACGCTGAAAACCGTTCCATAATCTAGAGGCGTGAAACAATCAGGTCATGCAATCCATGCATACATCAGACGTAAAAAATCAACCCTACCTCCTCCTCAGTTATTTCAGGGGATACCTTCAATTCCGGTTCGGGAGAAGCTTCCATTTCCGTTTCCAAAATCTAGCATTTGATAGAAAGATAAGTAAGATCTAAGACTCAAAAGAACCAGGCCCATCAGAAAAAGGAAAAACCGAACGTCATTTTTACGGATGATATCGTAGAAGTGGAAGATTACTGGTTTCATACACATCCGCTCGAATGAATAATTCCGCAAGGAATCTTAAAGCCCCGAGACATGAGGGGAACGCCCGCATGCAAAATTAACGCCAGAAAAAGTTACCTTCATAACTACGGTATTCAAACTATACGGGGTCGGTAGGGGATCAACCATCGTTTTCAAAAGATTTTTCTCACGAGAAGAGCACCGCCCTCGGATCTACATTTTTTTGAATCATGAGGCCAAATTTGATAGAATATCTAAACGTAACTGCTGACAGTAAAATGAGAACGTAACGAAGAAATGTTCGCGATAGTTGTAGGGAGTCTTTTTCTCAGTGTAATAATCTAAGATCGAATCAAGTACACAAGTGAGATTGAGTTCAAGTCTGGTTAGCTAGGTGTTCATTACAGTTTAGTTTAGATCATAAATTGGGCTCGATGAGTTTTCATCAATTGAACGAAGCTACAATCACGCTCACTTAAGTTCGTTTTGCGCTACTTCGATCGTCATTGAGGACCGTTATGGAAAGTTGACCGCCAACATTATGAGCTGATACGAAGTTAATAGTCTCTTCAGGTTAGTTGGTTAAGTTATCTTGAGGCAATAGAACTGAACCTTCATATGAGGTAACCTCAACCAGAGTGACTTCTATTCTTAACCGGTTTCTACACGACGCATGAGTTTTTGAAAACTTACCGGAGCAGGTTCGTCTTTCACGGATTCAGCCTCAACCGGGGCTTCCACTTCGGGAACCTCGGGAGCACTAACTTCCGGAACTTTTTCAGGAGAGGCAGGGGTAGCCGATTCAACTTTGACTGCTTCTTCAGTTTCCACCTTTGGTTCGGAGTCGGAAGATTTCTCTGGCACAGCTTCCGGTTCGACGTCTTGAGTCTTTTCCGCGTCGGCTTGTTCAGGAGTCTTGTCTTCGGCATTCTCCTAATAAGTGAATAAATTTCCACGAGTTCGAAACATTAACCTTTCCTGATAACAAATGCATGATGGGTTCGTACCGTGGTTTTGTTAGCGTCGTCGGCGGCAGTTTCACCGCCTTTCTTCTCCTTTTTGTGCTTGTTGCTCTTCATGAAACTCAGATTCCTAAACGACATCTTCTTCTTCACTTTCTTCTCCTTCTTGGGCTTGCCTCCATTATTTTCTTCAGTCATCTCTTGGGTTGTGTCCTTTCCATTAACTTCCTCGCTCTAAGGGACATGGTATGAGATTAATAGGACTTCGAATACTATCGACAATACGTACCTTAGCTTCGATTTCAGGGATTTTCGTTGTATCATCATGTCCATTGATTACCTCTGTTTTCTCAATTTCAGGAGCTTTTTCGTTGATATTTTCTTTCCCCGGAGAACTGCTATCCCTGGCCTTCAGTTCCCCAGAAACAATTGCACCGGGTTCTTCGGACGCACTTTTCTTCGATTTGGACGAAATGTCAACAGATTTCCGACTCGCAGCAATACCCATGTTAAATGATTGAAATTTTTGAGCAAATCAGCGGCTAGAAAACAAGTTAATATTGCACGGAAGCAAAACTTTGAGCACTAGTACAATTGACCACAGATTATTTCTACAATTCAAAAGAAAAACGGATTAAACACGATAACATGCACAATTCAGCGTACGTGAGGAGCAACACGGAGTTCACATATGCACGATTTCGGATCAAAAGAAACAGCAACACCGCTTCAGTAGAACAGATCTACGTCTCATCTAATGAAGCAAAATGGTACAAAACAGATGAACGTGAACTGCACTGTTCCGGTTTGCTCTGAACGAGGTCCACTAAGCACAGCAGAATGTAATCATCTGCCTCTGAACAGATACGGTACAGTACATGCTTACGGTCTGGAAAATTCTCAGATTCTGGGAGCCAACACTTCTCACTCGCACAGCAATACGCACAAATCGACATGACACATGGAATTCGCTCACTTCGTTGGTGACGATGGGAGACGTGCTCATGCGGCGAGGACATTCCTCACAATCGTATAAAATGGTCACGGCATAATCCAGACTGCTATGAAATGAGCTTTCGGCAGCGTATGCCCGAGGCCGCCATATTAGAACTTCCAGCATTCCACTTTTTTTAAACCACATAGAAGAGGATTTATTTGCCTGATGCTGCGCACCTTGAGAAAGTTGAACCGTAAGACGAGATCGGATGAAAGAATTATACTGTAACTGCTTGCATGCAGTTATGGCCACTGAAATTTCGACGGATTTAATTATTATACATATTTCGCAGTTCATAGTGATAAGCGGGCCTTTGTTGAACAAGGGATAACCGGTTAAAGGCAGGGGGCAATGTAACCCTTCCTCTATGAGTAGATTCACGTTACGAGTTCACACATATCACCGATATCGTAACTTATGTAGACGATCCTTGCTTTCCCCTGCATGATCATGCCAACCATATTTTTTTATGATTGCGGAAAAATCCGTTGCGGAAAACATCGCCCTCCTATTTGTATGTTCATCATCCTTCTGAGCGTGGCTGTACTACCGTATAATGGATCCTCTCAATTTCTGGCTCCTGTACACATGGTCGCATCCATGAAATCGATCTGATTTGCCGGGTGTTCGGTGAAATCACGCGTTTGCTATTTTCCTTTATATTTAGGTGTGTGATAATCGATTTCATCCCTTGTGAAGGAGACTGAGTCCATGAAGGATTCCAAATATTGTGTTTACAATGTGTACCGAACGGCTGGGCCCACTGGAAGAAGAATTGTTCCTGGCGATATCTGAACGAAATTATGACGTCGTCAAGCAAACAATTATGACAGGTGAGTTCGTGAGAAGTTCGAAATATCAATGGTTTTAATAAAAGATCTTCCCGCCCAGGATCGAGGTGTAATTTTCTGCACCGGAGCGGCGTTACCCCACTCATAAAAGCTGTTCAAGTTGGTTGTGAAGATATAGTTCTGGCACTTGTGTCGAGTGGTAGAAAAGATAGCGACCATGAGGATGAGCTGAGTGTTGAGAAAATATTTGGTACAGAAAATAAAGAAGACAGCAACGTTCTGGGCCGGGACGTTCATCTTCGGTGAGTTCAATATTACGTGAACCACCGTGACTGAAGTTGGTTACACTTCATCTGCATGAAATGTGCCGTGAAAAGCAATCGCGAACGATATTGCCCTCAAATGAAAATTAACTGAAGGAAATGCATCCTTAACCGTCTGATCGCTCATCCGATCAATTCCGTTCCCAACATCGTCCCCCGATTTCTCAAGTAATCCGTAGTTCTGAAAGGGAAAATGAAAAAAAAATCACTTCCGCTACAGGAATGCTCTAAATTGGTGCGTTAACTGGATTTCTTGCTGAAATGATTTAAACTCGCATTCGCTGTTTTTAAAGTATTCCTGGCGTAAAAGAGATTTGTTTCAATCGTTCAAGCCACGTCCGAAGCCTCTGTTCCTGAAAGAGCCAGTGGGAAGCTTTGAATAAGACAAAAAGAGATTCAGTGGAATGATTTGTAGTACAGTATAGTACATTACGTGCTTTTCGCGAATTTTCCTCTCTTGAGTGATTTCATCTGAAAACCAAATGATAATGTTCTTGATCCATGTACAGTATCCGTAATCATGTTTTATTTGCAGCGAAAAATGGCGCCGCGCTGGCAGTGATATGAAGAGAGTTCTGAATGCTACGAGCAGTTCTTCCGACGATGATCTGGGTGAAGAACCCCGGAAAAGCAAGCGAAAGCCGAATCTTGGAGATTTGTGTAATTATGAATCCCCGTCATCGCTTTCGCCTCCATTGTTTTCAACTCTGCTCGAGGAATTGAAACGTGAAGAAAGTTCGGCTGTCCTGGAGAAGACCTCTGAGGAAGCCGCGTTTTATCCCTTCCGTAATGTCGTATCGACCATGTTCTCTCTCCTGCCAGCCAAGAGACACTCTCCTATGCCATCTCCTGGTAATATATCGCGATGCGAGATACCTCAAATACTGATCATATTCGAACAAGGAAAATATTGTACGATACAGAACTTCATTCCGACAATCGATTTGTATTCATGAGATTTTATTCTGAATCAACAATTCTGATTTCAAGAATTAAATGGATGAGTGCAGCCTGGAGAATTGTGAACAGCGTTTAATCCAATGACTCTTAACTTTCTTGAGCTCAACTGTTCTAAGCACAGAAATCCTGGAATTATTCTGAAAGAGAACGCTCGCCTCAATTTTTGGAGAAAAATTTCTCGAAATTTGTTTTCCGGTTGAAATTTGCATCGCAGTTCTGTTGCCTAGCGTCATAATATTTCGTGGACTTCGATCAACTTCCATAGACATAATTATGCCCTTATAAAGGTTGAACTTCATGATACAATGTTTCTCTCTGACTTATTTCATGTGTTCGATCATGTCTGCTGTATCCATGTAAAATTCTTGTCTCTTTCAAATCTCGCCAAATTTGGAAGAAACATCTGTAATTATTCAAACTGCAAGATCCAAAGTACCCTACATGTATTTTGCAAGAATAATTGGCGATCAAGTTCAATGTAACAGTATATTTTTGTCTACAGTACTTTTCTTGTGACTATTTGAATGGTACAGTGGCAATATTGTGAAAAGCAACTCATATGTTTACTTTACTTACTTTAATGCTGCGATTTTTCAAGTAAACACGTCTTGATAATCGGGATAGTATCTAATTTTAAACTTACTCACAGTGATTTGAAAACCCGTTGAAAAAAATTATGATCCATGAAGTGGTATCAAATTACAGTATTTTACTGCTTAACAAGATAATTCCGCAGTAAAAATAAATTGTACCGTATTTCCTGGAAACAGATATCTTGTAACCTCGTAAAGATTGCTTGCAAAGTTTTAAAATTGGAAGGCCCTTATTGAAATAAGAAAAAATTTAATTTCAGCAAGAATTAAGTCTAAATCAATCGCATCTTGAAGAAAAATTGAACCATGAAGTCAGTTTTACAGGAAGCAAGAAATATGCTACTCGTATTTTAGACAGTTGTATGATGAGAAGTTGAAGTACCTAACCAGCTCCAAAATCTTAATTTCTATAAATTTCTGGGTTTTTTTCTGAAGATGTGGTGACAAACGTTTCCAGTCGAAAACGTGGTAGCGGATCGTTTGGAAACGACAGCCCATTTTGCGCTTCGAGTGGCCTGACAACTGACAAAGGGCTCCTGTGCGGGAAAGAATCTGCGCGTTCCGTCAGTCCTTCCGATTCCTGTGATGAATTTTGCATCAGCTCAAAGTTCGCAACTCCGCTGCTCGACTTCATTGCCGGAGAATACTCAGAGAAGTGCGATCTGAACATGACGGACGTATCGAAACGAACCGCTTTGCATTATGCTGCGATGCAGGGTAACGCGAGGATTGTTGCGGTGCTGATTGATGCAGGTACATTTTATTTTTTCATGGATTTCAAGTTGATATTCATCTGTATGCATGTACTGTATATGTTTGTACGAAAAATATTCCTGCCCGGTTTTCACCCATTTCTTATTTTCTGGACGAATTTTTGGGACAATCTACCGGAAAAATTGACGCTGAAACTTATGCAATACTGTATTCGTCATAAATTATCAAGAAATTTAATCCACATACGAAGAGTTGATCTCTCGAAGGAAATTCGTACTGATATTATTTTCAGTTTTGTGCGGCATTAAGGGTTAATAATTTGTTCTTTGTCAAGTACAGGATACGGTAATACCCTGTTACACCCTTCCTGATTTTTTTTCTTCGGAATGCGCTAAAATCTTCTTGAAACACATTCCTGCATCGTTTTTTTTTTTAATATTTTTTATTTAAAAAATCTACGCTTGATGTGCTTTGGAGAAATCCTTTCTATACAGATCACAAATTTGTTTGCATCAGATATTTCGTAAAATTTACTCGTCTGTCAAATAAGATAAAAATCACTATCATTACGCTGAAGAGAATTTATTGAAAGCATGATGTCAAAATGCGTGAGATTGAGCAAATTTTGACATTTCTTGGTTAAATGCATTTTCTCGGAGTCCCGAAATGAATGCTGTAGTTATTTTCGTTAGCTTTGCATTACTCAGTTGATACGATTCAGGTGGACCCTCTCTGCAACGAAATTCAAGGTAAATTACGAGATAAAAATTCGTTGTGGACGAGATCGATTTTGAGAGCCGCCCACCTTTATTACGATGGTGGACATCCGACTGAAATGAATACAATAAGCCCATCAAGTGATTCACCAATTCACAGTTACTCGTCGAATTTCTTTGAGTTTCAAGGAAAATATTTTTTATTTTCCGCATTCCACACTCATCACGAGTGTATGTCCACCCATTTGCAGGGGCACGAGTGAACGTGACCGACAAGCATGGCTCATCTCCGCTTCACCTGGCGTGTTCAACGGGGCGACAAAATGTGATCAAGGTTCTTTTAAAAGCCAAGGCTCGTGTCAGTCTCAAGAACGACGAGAAGGTGACACCGTTGCACGAGGCGGCGTCCAGAGGCCACGCCGGCGTGTGCGTCCAACTCCTTGCCGCCGGCGCGAGTGTCGACGCTGAAGATACGTCGGAACGGACGCCTCTGTATGTCGCTGTGTCTTGGTGTCACCACGATGCCGTGGAAGTTTTGCTGCGTCACGGGGCCAAAGTTTCAGCAGCGAATATCCACGGTTTGTGAGCAGGAATAAGTATGGGGAGTTGATGGAAGAATGTCACCCCTTGGGGGGGGGGGGCATTGATTTGCTTGGCATATACCGCATTTACTCGAGTACCACGCGTACATTATTTTCAAAGAATGACAGGAAAGAAGGGGTTTGTATCATAGACGGAGATTAAATTTTTGATTGATGTTTAAATTTTCCACACTTGAATATGATGGGACATTTTTGACAAGAACTTGAAGAAAAAAATCGTTGAAAAATAATTGAATTCAGGTTGCATTCATGTTTGAATTACAATGCTGCCGTCTCTTTTTCTTTTTAATACTGTATTGTATTTTTTCTCGCACCGAAAATTTGGTGCGCCTCTTACTTGAAGAAAGGATTTTATTAAGATTTTAGAGTAAAAAAGTTGGCTGCGTGTCTTAAACAAGGGCATTTGGCACTTGAGTAAATACGGTATTTTGATACCAGCCCTGCTGAATTAAGTAATGTGTAATTATATGTGTTTTCTGGTGCTTTGGAAGAGTTTTAAGAAATTTATTAGTGAATTACTTAATTATTGAAATTCATTCAGTTTGAACCAAAAAGAGAAAAAAATCTCTTCGAAAGTAGCTAATCTGTGACGAGAAAGCATTGGGAATGATTCATTTTGCAGTATTTAAAGTCAAACCTTGATTTTGTGCCATCATTTGTTCTGGCACTAATAAAGTGTGGCACTAAAATGAAGGAATTTTTCAGTAAAAAGGTTTACTTTAGGTGGGCAGAATAAGCTCATTCACAGAATGGTTATGCCTTGGATTCTATTTTATAACAGAGAAAGCATTCACAATGACTAATTTGAAGCTCAAATGTATTGTTTTTACATTGTACTTCAATATCCCCTATAATAAAGTTGCTTGCAACGTCGGTCGGTGATTGCGTTGACCACTCCATCCCTCCTCATGTAGCCCCCTATCTTCCTCCCAATAAGCCCCGCCCACAAGAACAGCAGGCGGGAATCACACAAACCCGCATTTTCCGGCCAAAACGGATACCTTCAAACCGCACAGCATAGCTGTGCGTCGTAGCACGGGCGGTAGGGCAGGGTGAAGCCCAGCGCACCGCCCTGCAAGGCCCCGGTTCAATCCCACCTGGGGGAACCTTTTTTTCCGATTCGTATCCTATTCTTATTCATAACTCTCTCAATTTTTTAGTTTTTCCAACAAAAAAAATTCCAAAATTTGTAGAATTCCATTCTGCATGCAATAAAAATTTCAATATTTAAATTTCTCCCACAGTAAGAGAGTTATGATGAGTTAAATACAAACTTGGACATTTTTTGTTTCCAGACTATCTCAGTTTAAAAATTTACCACAACATTTGTGTTTCATCAAACTCTAACATTTTCACAGTGTATATGCGCAATGAAGTTTTGCGCATTTCCTTTTTTTAAATGTTCAAATATGTCCAAAATTGACTGAGATCTTTACAAAATTACAAAACGTTTTCCAGAAATTATATGAAAATTCGGGAAAAAAGAATTTATATTTTGATTTTTAACTCATTCAAGGTTCAACATTTTTCAAATAAAAAATATGTAAATTTTTAAAACATCTGTGCGCATAAACGTAACAAAAAGTTTTGAAATTGAAGCAAAATTGAACAAGTAGCAGCAAGCTAAAGTGAAAAATCAGAAATTAGTTGAAAATTCCATTTAACNTAAACCACAGCATTTGCACCAGTCACAATTTCTGGAACCAAATTATTTTTTGCTTCCACTTTTTATTGAATGGGTCTCAATTCTGATGAAAGACCAGTGGGGAAAGGGAAGAGGGGACATTTTATCAGTGTATCAGTTCTTATCCTGAAAAAGTTTCTGAAATTTCGAAATTTTCAAAGTGTGGCTTAAGAGGTCTTCTGGGCATAAAATCAAAAAGCATGAGGGCTGCACTCATAGCAATTTTTTTTCATCTGCCAAAAATTTTTAAAATGATGCTCAAGTGTGGATTGGTATCCTATTATTAAGATAAATTGATTTATTGGAAATTTTTTTGCATCTTTGTAAAATTCCAAACATGATGCCCAGGTGTGGCTGGGCACCCCCAGCTTGTAAATAATAAGACAGACTATGTTAGATGTGTAGTTTTGTACACATATTGTGTCTAATAAAAGATCAGAGCTGTATTGTGAAGTTGCGTTTGAGATTTAGTTTTTTATTTGTTGCCATCATACAGGCATTATCAATGTTTCCAGGAAATCGTAAAATTTATTTATATGGTTTTTAGTACAGGAAGATGCCATCCAACGGCAAGGAGATAAAGTAAAAAAATATGCGACAATGTAAAATCAGAAATAGAATTGTAAAGATTTCCATGAATTTTTGTGTGCGCATAAATTCTCAGTGATAACTTAATGATATTCCTAGAAAAAAGGTTCAATATGTTCGATTTTGGCCCAATTTTAATTTTTGTGGCACAAAGTGAGTTGGCATTATATCGGGGTTTTCCTCAATGACGCAAATCAAGATTTTTTCAGCGATATTTGTGGCATTATGTGAGGATGGCACTAAATCTAGGGTTGACCGTATTTCGAAGGGTTTTTTTTTTAATTTTTTCTAAATATGTAATGATATTTTCCGAATTTCTATATTGTCTTGAAAAATCGAAACATAGAACGTAATTTTGTGGGAATTCTTCGTGCAATATTTTATGAATATTTGCATGAATTCGCTAGGTGAAACTCCATTGTGCGAAGCTGTGCATAAAAACGATGTAGCCATGGTGAGGAAGCTACTTCAGCACGGAGCAAAGGCTCCAACATCCAGTCATCTCTTGCATCACGCCGTGAGGAGTAAAAAACTGCCGATGATCAGTATGCTGATGGAATCCGGGCTGTGTCAGATCAACGGTAAAGATTCGACAAACGGAGATACGCCTTTGCATATTGCTTGTGCCTCTGGTCAGGTCTCCGTTGTGGAAGCCCTCATTAAAGTCGGTGAGTTGATCTTGAATGTGGATATGAACTCGTTGATTCATTTGAAGAATTCCCTTATCGAATCTCGTGTGAAGGAAAAGTTTGGAAATACAGTGGGTACCCGCGTAACGAAAGTAATCCGTTTCTGGATGGGTTCCGTTGTGCAAAATTTTCGTTATTTGGAATGCGTTTTCCCTTAAGATTACAGGTAGTGGTAAATTTGAATGCGAAAATTAGTCAACATGCACAAGTTGAAGCTTAAAAAACCGCACACTCTTGACACTTATTTCGTTTTGATGCTAGGTCAATTCTGACAAGTTTATTCAATTTACAGTACTTTTTTTCTGTCAAGAAGTTGCCTTTGAATAGCATGAAATCTGAAAGGTCGAAACGACCAGCTATTCATCAAAGCGCGAGCGAATTTCAGTGTTCCTGAGGTAGTGGCTTTGCTCAGTCTCGGAACCAAACATTTGTAAACTTGTCGGGTCATCAAAAATGTTCCTCAAAGACTCGAATTTCCTCATCTAGAACTTTTAAGCAATGAAACTTCACAGGAATTGGGGACATGGCGACAAAACGGGTTTTCCCCGATGAAGATGAAGAAAGTCTTCGAGAAGCCATCCAACATCACATCTGGGTCTTTTCAGAGAAATACAGTACCACATTTATTCCTGCGGAAAAAAGACGCACTTCAAGTTACGATGTCCTCGAACATTCAGAATATTTTCCTAGGGAGGAAACAGCATGAACTGTACTTCGTAATTCATCTCATTGTTTCCCGACGCTCGCTGAAATAGCATAATAGACCATAAAATTTGTGTATTATCCAGTGGAAAATTTGGAATTTAATTTAGTTTAGATCATTGTTGATTTGGAATATTGATTAATACAGTACAGTAGTGTTTATACTGTACTGTACTTGATACAGTTATGTTTTTTAATATATTATTGCAATTGACGTAAACCTGACAATGAATTATTGATAATAACTTGCGGAATTTCTAAAGATCAGTGGATCTAGAGCTAACTATTCGTTTCTTCTCTGTGTTTTTTCTCGGATTTTCGAAAAAATCTAAGGTTTTAGTTCGTAGCTTTTTAAAATTTTTGCGTTTCATGGGCCAAAATGAAAAAAATAATTTTGCGATGTGAGATTGACCGAAGAACATCTGCCACGAAAAGCGGTTTGAATCTTCTAAAAGCCGAGTTTAATTACGTTGAATGAGCGAGTGCTCGCGATCTCTGTAAAGTTTTTCAAAATTCAATTAAACTTGCCTGAATGACTAACTGATATATGCGAAGTATCATCATTATTAATTATGGTTCTGAAATATTTTTGAATGCGTCATTTAAAATTTTCAATTCGTAAATCTTTCTGTATACAGTACAGTATCTTTCATGGGCTACGGATCTAATGTTCGGTATGTGTTTCAAACGGTGGGTTTTTCTTTCTTCTCTGCTTGTCAAATATCTGTTTATCTCGCTAAATACTGTAGGATACTGTGTATTTTACTGAACCATGTCTTGCGTTATTCAACTGTGCGCCTTTGGAGATCATCATCCATTTCTTATCCCGTGTGATTCTCACGTTCTGGTTCCCATCATTCGGATAGTCACGGGTGCTTCTGTGGGAATTTATTTATTACAATACTTATGTCTTGAATGAGAAGCGCGTATCGTAATGATATCAATGAATGCTGTTTTCTCTCTAGGAAAATATTCTGACTGTTCGAGGACATCGTAACTTGAAGTGCGTCTTTTTTCCGCAGGAATAAATGTGGTATTTCTCTGAAAAGATCCAGATGTGATGTTGGATGGCTTCTCGAAGACGTTCTTCATCTTCATTGGGGAAAACCCGTTTTGTCGCCATGTCCCTAATTCCTGTAAAGTTTCATTGCTTAAAAGTTCTAGATGATGAAATTCGAGTCTTTGAGGAACATTTTTGATGAGCCAACAAGTTTACAAATGTTTGGTTCTGAGACTCTGCAAAGCCACTACCTCAAGAACTCTGAAATTCGCTCGCGCTTTGATGAATAACTGGTTGTTTCGACCTTTCAGATTTCATGCTATTCAAAGGCAACTTCTTGGCAGAAAAAAGTACAGTAAATTGAATAAACTTGTCAGAACTGACCTAGCATCAAAATGAAATAAGTGTCAAGAATAAGCGGTTTTTTCAGCTTCAACTTGTGCATGTTGACTAATTTTCGCATTCAAATTTACCACTACGTTGAAGTAAATCAATAATTAGAATTTTCAATCAAAAATGTGACAAATTAATTGCAGAAATAAGCAGAAACGAGAAAATTAAATGCTTCAAAATTTTACTAGTGACCAGATACGAGGGTTGTAACGAAAGTTCTCGGAATAAAAATTCCAACTGCGTAGGATATAGGTGTAAACAAATTATTGTTAAGAAGAAATATTCTTTGGCACGAAAAAAATCAGCCCTGTTTGACATATTTTGAGGAGAGCAAACATTTTCTGACTTCTGAAAAAATTTAAAACGGCATACGATTGACCTGAAAAATATATTCTTCAGAAGAAACATGTTTTGGCTCAAGAAAAAAAATTGGCCCTATTTAACACGATTTTCAAGAAGTGGCCAGGGTGACGTTGCAAAAATTTTCTGCAAAATCTGTACAAATTGAAACGCTATACAATTGAGCGGAAAAAATATTTTTCAGGGGAAACATTCTTTGTCACAAAGAAAATCAACCCTGTTTGATATATTTTACAGACATTTTTTTTGCAAAAGTCACCCTGGCAGTATTTTTCAAAATATGTAACAAGTCTGAATTTGTTTATTTTGCTGAAGAATGTTTCGTCTGAACAATATTTTTCTTGAAGCTCACTCTTATGCCGTTTCGATTTTTATTCCGAGACTTTCTGTTGGACCCCTCGTACAGTACTAGTACTGTATGAACCAGCAACGACTCTCTTCTCGTATCACCAGCTTTCATGTTGTTTTTTCTGATGCAAGGGGGATTACCAGAATTAATAAAAAAATCTGAGTCCATGAAGCGAGTCGTCCATTATATTCGAATTGACCCTGCGATGATCAATGTAATGCCGTCATTTAATTTTACTTTTATTTTCGCAGGGGCGTCAGTGAACATCGCCAATCGGAGGGAACGTTACGCGATGCACTGCGCGACTCTGGGCTGCACTGCCATCAAATCTTTCCAAAGAATGTGCAGAGCTCTTTTGAGTGCCGGTGCCGACGTCAATGTCGGGACGGAATCTCCGTTCATGTGTTGCCTGCGGGAAAGGAAGAGTCATTTCGCCAATTGGCTCCTGCGACACGGGGCCAAAGTGTGTTCAATGGAGGATCCCATCAGGGTCTTGGAGCTTGTCCGGAGTGGCGGGGACGAAGACACTCAGAAGCTCTTGATTTACACGGGTTTGTTTTCCGAGCACTTTGAATGTCCGAGGAAGGGTCGTGATGTTTTGTTGTTTCGATTGCGACGTTTTCATCTTTGTATGACTGAGTCAATCAGTGTTTCTTGTTGATTTTCTCTGTGATTATACTCGTATTCAGTCGAGTATCTGGTCAGATTCTAGATGCTTCAGTAGTTCAAATTCAATCTCTTCCAACGGTTTATGCATACAGTATTTTTTTTAGTGAACACGTCACTTTGAACTTCTGAGGAACTGCAATAGTTCAAGTTTTCAACTGTTGTTGCACTTTAATTCATTATTGAACATTTACTCTTCGCTTACTTCGTGGTGAATCTGCCCCACGGAAGATATAGACTCCGAGATTTAAAATTAGCTTAGGTCAGTGGTCTGCAATCCACAAAATTTTTTTGGTGTTCCCCGAATTTCTTCATCATATTGAATTCATTGAAGGTAGAAATGAAGTACTAATCTGAAATTTCGCGAAGAAATGGCAGCTAAATTATCTGATAAAAATGGAAATTGCCTTTTCTCCTCATGACACTATACGAAATTTCACCTGCCACAAGAAATTATTTTCAGTTTTCATTCTGAGAAACCTTTTTTGAAGCCCAGCTTTCTAATTTGACGTTCCACTATGGCTGTTTCATTGGTTTTCAACTTAATTTTTACGATAAAATTTTTGTTTGTAGGACTTCATGGCAGTTGTTTGAAAAAATGTCTTCAGGTCTGAAAAAATTTTTCAACTTTGCAGGTCCGCTAAAATTTTGTGGAATTTGCTGGTCTGCGAAAAATTTTATGGAAATTCCTGGCTTGGATGTAATGCTCAATTCCGTTGACAAATGCAAACTTAAATGTACAAGTAGACTCTCTCTAAAACTATTTTCTCTGAAAATATAATGATTTTGCTCCATTCGATTCTCTACCCAATCTATGAAGGTTTTCTGCGAAGAATTTTTTCCTGGTCCCTTGAATTTCGTTGTAGAGCGAGTCCATATGTATAGATTTATTTATTTTTATTTTTTGGGTCTCTTGAGGGTTTCTACTTATTCTATAGAGGTTCTCTACGACGAATGTTTTTCTGGTCCCCTGAATTCTATTGTAGAGAGCGTCATACTGTGTAAAATAATGGTGTAGACTGTAGGGTATGAAATGGTGTAAAAGAGGTGCTCATTCCTGTACTATTTCTATTTTTGCGGTTTCATTTTAAGGTGAAGATTGATCGAATTTACTTTTTGTTTTCGACAGGTTTCGATATCCATGGGTGCTCTTTGCCGTGCGAGAAAGAAGGAACGTTGGAGTCCATGATGTGTGCGGGCAGCTCAGTTTGTTTCGGCTGTGAAGCTGGCAATTGCTGGTTGTTGGAGCGAAAGACGAATCCTTTGCTGCTGACCGAGTTGGCGAGGATCGCGTATCGTGACGGAATCGCCTCGAGTGTTGCACTAGAACGTATCGTGAATCGGATCCCGTTTTCGAATGCCATAAAAAAGTTCATTCTTTTCGACGAATTCGCGGAGAAAGGAGATGATTAGGCGTATAGGTTTCTTGTATCTTTCGAATCTTATACTAAGCCCGTGTCAGCGCCCGATTTCTGAAGGCTAGTTTTGGAAAAACCTCGTGGCTAATCTGGAATTCTGTTGTCTGTCTTTCTGAAGAGTAATGATTTGGTGTTGACTGAACTGGACTTTTCACTAGAAAGAATGAATCGAGTTCGGATGGTGAACGGGTTCCGAGGGGTTTCTCGAAAGTCTTGGCTCTTACCCATTGACGGAATCTGGTCTAAATTCATGCATTCCATTGAAAGCAGATTACGACGACGTACACTACGTACAAAATGTCTGAAATAATTTTGGTAGCCACTTCAGATTTCTCCAGATTCTCTTGTTTCAGTAACACGTTCAAGTAATTGTCATCTAAGAATCACATATATAATGGGGTAATCCAAATTGAAGGCCATTGCGATTGATGGGAAAAGTTTGTTATCTTTCTGGAATGTCACGGATGGAGTGATTGTAATTATTGCACAAGTTTGCAATACCTGTGTCTTTGATGTCAGCATATTTTCAAAATCAGCATTGAGATGAACGTTGACAAAAATGAGATTACTGTATCCCTGTATTTTGGCAAATATTTGCCCTTGGGGGGCGGGGGGGGGGGAATTGCACGCTTCTAGTGACACAAGATGTGGCTGAAATGTCACAAAAAGGCAGAATTTTGGAAATGAAACACCAGAATCAGCTGTGGGGTTCAGCTGGGGATTTGTTCATGAAATCCCAAAGAAAAAAGATGAAGATGTATTTCAAATTGTTTCAACCGCATTGATCACACAATAAAAATCACACAGGAAATTAGAGGGATTAAAGTTAATTCAATAACTGTTGGTTCCAGACTGTCTCAGATGAATATTGAAAAATGTTGGAAGAGTGACCTTTTATGTTTTTTTGTTCTTTTCCCTTTAAGGAATCTGCAGAAAACAGGAGTGAAGTCTCCAATGTTCTAGATTAATCGAAATAAATCTTGAAGAATTTCTCCTATAGTTTGTGGTACTTTAACGTACCGAATTTATTCCGCCACACGAGATACACAGAAGACAGAGATATGAAAGAGAAGCAATCCCATCAGTTCTTGCATGACATTTTCCACGTATTGATGTATTCGGGCGGAATGAGATGAGAATTTTCATTTAAAGAATAAGTTGCTGAATATAAATTGAAACGTTTCAAGTGAATTTTAAAAGATGTGCGTGAACGACGAGACTTCCGAGAAACTCTTCTGGTTATCACGTCTGTGAAGTTCCAGCTTTTGGTCCCCGCGTTTTTTTTTTTTTTTTTTTTTTTTTTTTTTTTTTTTTAGTGTTTCGAGAGGCAGTTTCCGTTACGTATTATCGAATTTTTCAAAACCTCGTTTTTTTTTCTACGTGAGGATGTTTGCGTCGCGTGAAACCAATTCTCGGCTTTTGTCGAAGTCGAGACACATTTGAATACGAAGCGTTGCATTGTTCTTTCTAACCTGTGCGTCTTTGTTGCGGAATTGCGGGAAAAATAATTGATACAGGTTGAGAAACGTTCGGGAAAATACAATTTTTGTGGCTGACGTAGTATTTTTTGATTGCAGTACTTTTTTTTCATGAAAATTTTCTTTTGGAAGAGTTAGCGAGTTTTTGTCCACTTTTTTCAGTGTCTCTCTTCCAGGTTTGAAATGACCGAAGCTTCTGTTTGTGAGTGGCTTTTCCAAGAAAATATCGTTTGCGACTTCGATGGTAAATGTGCCCTTTTTTTCTCTTCGATTCACCAGCTTCGGTTTGGACCAGAGAAGAGGACATGAAGCTCGTCAAAGCGCTGCTGGTCAAATGCGGAGAAGACTCGCGGAAACCGGACAAAGTTGCCAAGGATCTGAACTGGGAAACTGTAAGTTTCAAAGTTGAGAATTTGGCGTAATATTCCGCGAGATGAAGTACAGTACATTACTGTACTTCTCTTGAATTGTATTCTTGTGCGCGTCGAAAGTCATACTAGTTATGTGCAATTTTATATCTTCTTAATTTTGGCGAATGTCAACGATCGGCTCTTTACTTGTATACCTCCTTTCTTTTTGTTCCTCAAAATTAAATTCGAATTGATTATTGCTCATATAGATCTGAAATATAGAACTGTATAATGCAGCCTTATTACAACGAATATCTTTGAAAGGAATTATTTTTCAGATCGAATTGATGCTAGAGGTCCTTCCAAAGTAAAGTCGCAATGCTTGTTTGGGCCCTTTTACGACGAATTTCTTGTCATAACTGAAGTTTTTCACGGTCGTATACGAGGGTTCTAACGAAAGTTCTCGGAGTAGCAATGAAAATGGCTTAGAATTGTGGTGAAAACATTTATTTCTTTAGGGAAAACATATTCTTTGGCACACGAAAAAATATCCGCCCTGTTTGACAATATTTTTTAAATTTATTTCAAAAATTCTGAGGAGAAAGCTGGGCTACATCAAAAAAAGTGCGCCTCATCTTTTGAGTGGAGAGCAAAGCTCTGCCAGGGTGAATTATGAAAAAAATTCAATAAAATTGTCAAACAGGGCTTATATTTTTTTGTGTGCCAAAGAATATGTTTTCCCTAAAGAATAACTTTTTTTCAGCTCAATTGTGAGCCATTTTCATTGCTACTCTGAGAACTTTTGTTAGAACCCTCATAGTTTGTTGTAACAAGATTTTACTGTATTTCGTAGCTATGTGTGCTGAAAGGCTGAAGGTGGGTTTGAGTTCATGTGAAATTTTAGTATAAACTCAATTTATGAGGTGTGTGTTGTACACTTACAGTACTTGACTTTAAAACGGATTCATTTGTGAAAGCCTAAATTTGCTACAATGCGGTTTTTTTTTTAGTAATTTTAAAAATGTGATCTATGAGATCTTCTTGGGACAATGCAAAGATCTTATTTTTTTTTCAGAGTTGTCCATTGAGTTGGAATAATCTTGATTATTTTATGAAGCCGTACTACGTAACAAATTACTGTAAATGGAAATTCGCCCATACATTTTTATTAAATGGTAAAAATCAATCACGATTTTTATGAATCCAAATATCGTACCAGATAATTTTTGGGGAAAAAACTTGTCAAGAGATGCAAGCCCGCTGGACAGTCCTGATGAGAACCGTCAGAACGTACAGACTCGTCTCTGAAATTGCTTTGGATGTCCTCAAGAAACTTGAAATTAAACAGCCTCCGAAGGAAGCCCGCGAAAAATTGGTACGTTTCGCTGTTGCACAATTTTTTTTTTGCCATTTGACTGATGCTTTTTTTATTTTTGAAAGGCGAAATCACATCCGGACTTTCCTCTTCGACCGCCTTCTGCATACCAGTTATTTTACCGATCAGCAGTCGACGACTTGAAGAAAGAATTTCCGTCGCTTGACGGGGTGAGTTTTATATATTACTGTTTAATTGATTCATTGATTTTTGTTGGCGAATTTAATGAGCAGTATATTTGAATGAGGCTTTTCGGATAGCAGAGATTACATAGCTTTTCTACCTGCCTCATCTCATATCAAGTCAGCTGGTATGTTTCGATATCCTCTCTACTGATTCATTCAATAAAATTTTTTACAATATCACGAATCCATCAACCGAAAAAAAAATAATTCGGAAAATCTAAGTGTGTCTGATTTTTGTTGGTCCAAACACATGAGTCGAGATTGTCTGAAGATTTTGAATCAAGCCTTATCTTTATTTACAAAGGATCTTTCTCAAATTTCAGCCCCGACTCGGGGGACTTCAAGGATACCAGTTTAATTTTCATGACTGATCTTGTGTTCATCTTCACACGCACATTAAAATTGGATAGATGAAATTCCTAATCATTGAGAAAAAATGAAGAAGATAAGTTTCAAGTTTGAGTCTTATTTGCATGCAAAGAAGAATATCAATTTTAATCTGGATTCAAGATTATTCAACGCCCATGAAAATTGAATAGATGGAATCCCTTTTCCATTGACAAATTTTTTTCCTTGAATAATCCAAGGAAACCTGATTATCAAGTCAAGAGAAAGATGAGTTTGAAGTTTGAGTCTTAGTTGCTTTCATTTTTAATTTAATGTCATTTTTATTTTTTCACCTGGATTCAAGATGATTCCGACTTACACCCTCCCAGTATGGTATTTGAATTAGTAATACATTAAAATTTCTTTACAAAGAACTCCCAGGGACCTAATAATTACAAATTCGTTCCGACGAAAAATTCGTTGTACTGTGATTCATGGTTTTACCAAATTTAGATTGGATTCCCCAGAAATATGTTATTTTGTGTATTTTTTGAACACTCGATTCTCAACAAAAAGTTTCTTTGGTTATTGGAAGAAGTTGGAATTTTGCTCAATTTAAATATTATCCCATTTCAGCCATTTATTGAATAATCCCTGATACAAATTCGTTATAATGTTCTGAGATTACCGCCTAAAAATGAATTTGTTAAAATTAGATTTTTATAAAATGGCGCCTATTGGAAAACTGCCAAGAGTCAAGAAAAAATTCGGTAAAATTGAAAATTCGCTAAAACGAGATGCGTTGTGACGGAATTTTACTGCATTTGAAATCCCTTGAAGGAAGGAAACTAAAATTGATGCTCATTTTTTTCAACTTTTGTTTTTAGGCAAAGATGTCCAAAATTGCCGGTCAGAGATTCCGTAGTTTATCGCCCGCTCAACGATCAGTGTTTGAAAATAAGGCGAAGGAAGCCAAAGCAGCTTTTGACGAGAGCGTCGTGAAATTTTAGTGAGTGATGATGATATTGATCCTTTTTTTTTTTGAAAATCTGATCGAAATTTCGTCAAATTTGCGTAATAGTCGGGAGCATCCGGAATTGCGTGCTGACCAGTGCTTACCCAAGAAACCGTCTACTCCATTCATGGTGAGGATTTCCGGACCATGGATATTTTCTGTTTATTCTTGTGAAGTTTTATTTTGGGTATTGTGAATTATATGTTGTACATGTCTGACCTTGAAATTAACGCTGCTTTAAAACGTGAACAATTTTAGAACCTGTTGTGACTTCCCAATGTTTTGTGATTGTCTAAAGGTACTGTATGTACTCGAGTGTATTATAGGTGATGGTTTGAATTCATATTAAAACGAATTATACTTGCGGTAAAATGAAAATGTATCAACAGAAAGACAAAACACAATGTTGATGAAGTGTATGTACTGTTGAGCCCACGTCTCAATCTGTGCAAAGGCCTAATGCATTTAATTACAGCAGTAGTTCGAATTGTTATGATTGATTTTATATACATCAAAATTCCGTTACAATGAATTTCGTTTCATGAGATTTAACGAACTTTTCATTTTATCAAATTTTTTTCTTTGGTCCTGGCTCCATTTTCTGAACATCTCATTTTAACGAATTCATTTCGGGCTGTATTAATCTCAGTACATTACGACGAATTTGTGGCCCTGATTTGATGCATAGGCCGCATGAATTATTCAATAAATGACGAAAAAATTGAAATTGAGCTCCAACTTTTTCCCAAGAACCAAAAAAGAAATTTTTTTTTTAGAAACGACAGTGTTGAAAAAGTACACAAAATAACATATTTCTGGGGAATCCAATCTAAATTTGGTAAAAACCATGAATCTCAGTACAACGAATTTTAAGAATTTGTGATTAGGTCCCTGAGAGTTCATTGTAAAGAAATTTACTGTACTGTACTGTAATACTAATTTAAATCCAAATTTTTCCAAGAACAAAAAAAAACTTTTTGGAGAGAAACGATAGTGTTCAAAAAAGAATACACCGAACAACATATTTCTTGGAAATTCAATCTAAAATTTGGTAAAAACCATTACAACGAATTTTTGGTTATAACGAATTTGTGTTGAGGTCCCTGGGAGTTTGTTGTAACGAAATCTTACTGTATCTCAGTTTTTTATTAATTTACATTATTGCTGTACAGTGTATTGATTTTTTTGTCTTTTTCTTGCATTATGTGTCGGAATTTTGTTTTTAGCAGTTTTTTTCTGATTTTTTTGTGGCTTAGATGCAGGACAAATTCAAAGAACTGAAATATATTTTAAAACGTAATTTTACCTGAACGAACTCTCTTTTGATTAATTTTTTGGGAAATCTTCGCAGCTTTTTTGCGAGGCGAAAGGAGTGCAAAACAAAGGTACAGCATCTGAGAAGACTGCCAAATTTGCGGCGCTTTCAGACAAGAAGAAGGCGAGGTATGTGCAAAAGGCGATTGTTCTGGAGCACCTGTATGCGGATGAACTCGCGGTTCACGCTGCGATTCATGGGAAAAACAATTTTCCGTCAGTGAAGTCTTCAGTGACCCAAGCGGAACTCAAACTTCGTGATCAGTAAGTATGCTAAAGTACAGTACAGTACTGTACTGCATATGTAAGGTGGATCACTGAATATTAAACAACAAAAAACTCAAACTGGAATTGGAAATCTTTTGAAATTGTATCCTTGACTGAGCAGTAGTTTTTGATTGCCAAAAAAAAAATTTTTTTTTGTGCCCCACTGAAGTGTAAAACATTGCCATAGAATGCGTGACTGACACTTGAAATAATTCCCAGGTATTCCAGTTTTCTACAGCTGTGGATGTGGACTAACACAATTTGTTTCATATTCAAGAACAAGGCACACATTTTATGATTTCAACCAAGAACACATGGTCGTATTTCCGGACACTGAACAGAGAGCTTTGACTTAGCAACTTCCAACTGTCTCTCAGCAGTCAAAAGCATTCTCTATTGTGTTCAATTTTTTTTTCACTTACAAATTATGGATCTAGGACATATCAGGACAGGCAATTGGAGAGAGGGCCAATTTGAGACAGAAACTTTTGGAGACAAGCACAATTTAAGACAGGTACATTTGGAGACAGAGAATTTTGAGACTATAACTACAGTGAGACCCCTACATGCAGACACCTTGACCTGTGGACAATTTCACATAGGGACACTTGTTTTCCCATGAAAAATTAATAAAAATCCAAAAATGAGGACACTGACTCAACATAGGGACATTTTGCAATAAAATTGCAAATACATTTCAGGCCAAATTACAAGATACAGATATTTTCAACCCTAAAATTGATGTAAGAAAAGTTTTTGGGCATTTCTCTCACCAATTTACCATCCATTTAGCTAATTGAAAAAATCCCCTCCAGCATAGAGGGACTTCCTCCTCTCTTTTCCACTTGAATGTTTTATTTTTACAGGGAATGCCAACATTTCTATGTACTGTACAGAGGTATCAGTATTCAATTCCCTAAATGTCCATATTGTGTTGAAATATATCTATTGAATCAGTTTAAACTGGGAGACAATTTTTACTTTCATGGAATTATGGTGAGTATTTTGTGCATAAATCACCAATTAAAATTTATATAATGTGTCTAAGGGAATAAAAGACTTGACTTAGGGACACCCTTTATGTATACCCATTACATCTGCATCTTGGGGTCTTTCTGTATTTAAGGAAAAAGCATTTCCTTGCTTTCATTCCTCTCTTGCTTGCTTTCATCCATTTGAATACACTGTAATACCTTACACATTAAAAACATCAGAACATCTTTTATCATTTTAATAATAATTGGCAGAGGTAAACTGCACAAAATATTCTCTTATGGTTCAGAAGAAGTACACGAATTTCTAATATCTATCTAGCAGAATTATTACTATGGTGTATTTCTCACAAAGCATATTTCAAATATTTAAATTTTTAAACGAATATAAAATTCCTCACTGTAAGATATATAATTCCCTTGTGATTCACAAAGAAACTTGGGAAAACTAGAAATTTAAGTGTAAAAAAACAGTTACTTTGGGACTGTCTCAAATTGTCTGTGCCTCATATTGTCTCTGTCTCTAAATGTCCATGTCTCCAAAAGTTTCTATCTCAAATTTTACTTACTCCTATTAAATTGTACATGTCTTGAATTGTCCCTGTTTCAAATTTTATGTCCCAATTGGTCCAGTCTCAAATCGTCTGTTGCAATTTGTCCGTATCCCAAAAATTACTCTTCTTCTAATAATTCGAGTGAATGTGTTCATTTCATTCTTGAACAAAAAAAAAATGCAGTAAAATTTCGTTACAACGAAGCCATTGAATGGGACCTGTACATCAGCTTTGTTATAACGAAAAAACAGTATTGGCTATTGGGCAGCAAGAACCTAAAAAGCGAGTTTTTTGTGATTGATTACTCGTTATAACGAGATTTTTGTTGCGAGATTCGCCTGTGTTATTCTATAATGGAAGCTTTTTACGCATTGTGCTTCATATACAGTGAGACCCTGAGATTTGGACGTAATTGGTGCATCAAGAGTGTCCCCAAGTCAAAATGTTGCTAAGTTGAGTCTTGTTTTCCCATAGACTTACACTACATAAAATTTTTAATTGGTGTTTTATGAAAGAAATCTTCTTTGGAATTCCATGGAGAAAAAAGTGTTTGCCACTTGAATTTGAATTATTGAATACATTTTGAACACAGTAAGAACATTTGGAGCATTGAATAGTGTATCTCTGTATTGTACACTGAAATTTTGGCATCTACAAAAATAACATTCAAGTGAAAAGAAGTAGAAGTCCCTCTATGCTGGAGGTCAATTTTTCAAATTAGCTAAATGAAAGGTAATTTGATGAGAGAAATGCCCAAGAAATTTTCTTACGTTAATTTTAGGGTTTGAAATATCTGTTTCTTGTAATTTGACCTGAAATGTATTAGCAATTTTATCACAAAATGTCCCTATGTTGAGTCAGTGTCCTTGTGTTGGGCCTTATTTATTGATTTTTTCTGGGAAAATGAGTGTCCCTATGTTGAATTGTCTGCAGGTCGAGGCATCCACATGTGGGGGTCCCACTGTATAAAAAACGGTTAGTTTTGTTTTTTTTATCACGCAAGACACACTGTTCAAGATTGCCAACGTTGAAGACCCTTGTGATGGTGTTCGTAAATTCACGGTGCATTTAATTGAAGAATTCCACCTCGTTTATTTTAATCTCAAGTGTGAAAGGCGTGCAGAGGAAACCACCGTCGTCGGGTTACGCTTTGTTCTTCCGGAAGATGAAGGAGGATGATCAGATGGCGCGAATTCCATCCAAAGAAAGAATGGCGAAAATTGCTGCGGCGTGGAAAGAGTCAGTGTCCGAGGAGGAGCGAAATGATTACAGGCGGAAAGCTGAGGCCTTGAAACAGGAATATGATGGTAACATGATGGACCGATTGTTGTTTTCTTTCTCGGAAAGAACGCCGAAGTCTCCATTTTTTTTCTTTTTTTACGCAAGAGGTTTTCCGTTGACGTTGCCTAGATGTCGCCTGAATATTGCTCTGATTCAATTGATCCCATAATGCAATTCGATAGCCTAAGCTAATAGCAATTCAGGTTNAATTGTCTGTGCCTCATATTGTCTCTGTCTCTAAATGTCCATGTCTCCAAAAGTTTCTATCTCAAATTTTACTTACTCCTATTAAATTGTACATGTCTTGAATTGTCCCTGTTTCAAATTTTATGTCTCAATTGGTCCAGTCTCAAATCGTCTGTTGCAATTTGTCCGTATCCCCGAAATTACTCTGCTTTTAATAATTCGAGTGAGGTGTTCATTTCATTCTCGAAAAAAAAAAAAACAGTAAAATTTCGTTACAACGAAGCCATTGAATGGGACCCGTACATCAGCTTTGTTATAACTAAAAAACAGGACTGGCTATTGGGCAGCAAGAACCTAAAAAGCGAGTTTTTTTTTATTGATTATTCGTTATAACGAGATTTTTTGTAGTGAGATTCGCCTGTGTTATTCTGGAATGAAAGCTTGAGACGCATTGTGCTTCATATAAAAATGGTTTATTTTTTTTTCATCACGCAAGACAAGATTGCGAACGTTGGTCTGGGAACACTACCACAAGCATTTAAGTGCCACGTAAATTAACTTCTTAAGGTGGAGCAAATAAAATTAGAGTTCACACTTTCCGCACGTCTCCTTTGGTGGCAGCAGCCCAATGCGAAACAAGAACCGGAAGATGAAGGAGGATGATCAGATGGCGCGAATTCCATCCAAAGAAAGAATGGCGAAAATTGCTGCGGCGTGGAAAGAGTCAGTGTCCGAGGAGGAGCGAAATGATTACAGGCGGAAGGCTGAGGCCTTGAAACAGGAATATGATGGTAACATGATGGACCGATTGTTGTTTTCTTTCTCGGAAAGAACGCCGAAGTCTCCATTTTTTTTCTTTTTTTACGCAAGAGGTTTTCCGTTGACGTTGCCTAGATGTCGCCTGAATATTGCTCTGATTCAATTGATCCCATAATGCAATTCGATAGCCTAAGCTAATAGCAATTCAGGTTTTGTGAAGTTCAATTTTTTGAGGGTTCTTTCAATGCTTATGGTGTAAATGATATCCGGATGACCTTTTTTTTTGGAATCGGAACACAAGCCACAGTGCATCTTCATATGCAAAAATTTCGAAAATTCTACAAGACACTTGCTTTAAAGCTGAAGCTTGATGAAGAAAATACAGTGAGTCACAAAGATGCGGATATAATTGGTGAATCAAGAGTGCCACTAAGTCAAGTCTCATTTTCCCTGAGGCTTACATTATATAATTTTTAATTAGTGTTTTATGAACAGAATATACTCACCATAATTCCATGAAAATGAAAATTGTCTCCCAATTAGAACTGATTCAATCAATATGTTTCAACACAATATGGACATTTGGGGAATTGAATAAACTATGGAGACATGTTATGTACCTTTACAACCGTAAGAGACATTTTTATTGTAAGTTCCCTTTTTCTTTTTTCCTTCAGGGAGATACGACCTTCATTAAAACAATTCAATCGACTTATCTACCATTTTTGGTGAGAGAAATGCCCACGAATGTTTCTTACATCAATATCAGGGTTGGAAATATCTGTTTCTTGTAACTTGGCCTGAAACTTATTTGAAATTTTATCACAAAATGTCCCTATCTTGAGTTAGTCTCCTCATGTTGGGCCTTTTTTATTAATTTGTTAGTCAAATTGTCTGCATGTGGGGGTCTCACTGTATTGCAATTTAATTTTCCTTTGTATTGACAAATTTTCAGTCCACTGAGCAAGGACTGAAAACCTTGGGCAATGATCGGAAATTTTGTTTTTTATTCATTACATATTTCTCTGCATAAAAATTCAAGGGACCAGAAACAAATCCAGAAACTTAAGAGAGTTGTTGCTTAAAAAAGAACAGGGAACTTAAAACAACATCTCTACTCTCGGACCAACATTAAATACATAGAGGATCATAAAAAAGCTAACGTAAACGCGAAAAGAAAACCTTTTCTAATCATATCAAACGGACGCAAACAGTCTGAAGTTTTTTTTTTATTATTAATTCCTATAATTCACTCGCAATTTATCTTTACAGGAGCTGGTTGTAACGGTGAAAGAACATTGAAACCACCTTGTCTCGATTATGAGAGCATAACCAAAAAAGGAATCTTCGTCTTCACGACGGAATATCATCAGGATTATCTATCTTCTTATCCGGATTTATTGGAGGACGAACTGAGATCCATTATCGTTAATGATTACAACCAGCTGGAAGATGAGAAGAGGGTGAGGCGTGATTCCATTTTAATTTTAAAAAAAATGATGCCCTAAGGGGGAATTTTGATTTTCATTATTTTAGGCTGAATATGAAAATAAAGCGACTGTTCAGACGCTTTGGAAGAAACACAGAGCACGAGATAAGGTCATGTTGTTCAAAAATGAACCTACTCTTCCGCCTCGGTAAGTATATACATGCACGGAATTTCGTAAATCATTCTCTCAGTACGTTATGAAGTACTCACGGAATTTACTGGAGTACCACGCGTCTTCAAGGAAGACACGTACCGTATATTTTTAGCTAAAATTTTTGAAAAAACGTTCAACCCGCATCTTAGTTTTTGGTTGCCAAACTCTTCATTTGAAAACTTTTTTGGGAGAAATCTGATTTTAGGGCCATTTAAAAATCGAATTCAATGGTTATCTTTTTGTTTCATAAAAATCATTAAACACCTTATGTAGACTTGTCTTTAAAAAAATTTAATATGGAGAAAAGAATTACATCTTTTTTAATGTGATTTGAACATTTTTACTGAAATATTACGTGCAGCTCATTTTTGGCGTGATAATTAATAAATTTTTTATACAGTGTCACCAAATAATAATCTGTATGTCCTGCAACATACCAACAATATTGCTGTTCTGTGTTTGACGTTCTGGAACGTCAGGTATCTCCTGCCTAGCAACTTGCTGCTCCAAAGCAGACAAGGTCATTGCACACCTGCTTACATTGTCTGGCTTGCGGTCATTTCTCTTGTCCCCTTTGGCAATGTCCCAATTTTGGTTGCACAGTTGTTCTGGTCTTTCTAAAGTCTGTAAAGGTACTGCAAAGTTAATGCGTAGATATTCATTGTTGATTGAGCCTTGGTTAAGGTAGTATTGAAATAAACCTATCATACTCTACAACGAGAAGTCTATTCACTTGAATACCCTAGTAATAAAGAACAAAACCTTCTTGTCAGAAAGTTATTCTAGAGAGTCTATATACTCAAGATTAATTTCATTCTGAGGAGAGACGTTTCCTCATAACCAAAAGTGTCTTTCGTTAATTCTCTCAAGGAAATTAGGATAACAACATAGAAAATCGTTGCATGCTAGATCATTTATAGAATTTAATTTGCGCAAATAAAAATGTGCACAATTTTCATTATTTGGCTTTGAAAAATTGTCCAAACATGAAAACGTTAAACTGATGGCAAATCTACCGTAAATCTTATGAACCTCGTGTAAGATTAAATGTATAAGATATTTTATATTTGTTCTACAATTTTTAAACGTGCAGCCCTTCTATCTAAATTCTAATACAGTGTTATTTTCTTCTTCTCTCTGTATAGAACGATCTCGGAATTATTCATGCGAAAGTCTCTGGCATCCAGAGACCATTTTGAGCCGCAGCCGCGAAAGCGGATGAAACTTGCTCATGAATCCCTGAAACGATTGTCTGCCGACGAAAAGGTGATTCTTGAGCAGGAGTTGGCAGATGCGAAATCTAAATATGTTCAAGATTACACGAGCTTCATAAATAGTCTTTCGCCTGACGAATTGATGGAGTATTCGTCCAAGAAGAAAAAGGAGACTGGCGTGAACTCGAGAATCAATGCCGTGAGTGTAGGGATCATTTATTATTTTTCAGATAACTCTTGAATAAAGTAATATTTTTTTCTGTATAGATGCGGGATGATGATCTGGAGTTGGAGCTTGAAGAAATCGATTTTTGATGCTTTGTGGATTTTAAAAAATAAATGTTTTAATGATGGGTGTAAGACAATGAAGCACAATTAAATCTTTCTTCTAATTATTGCCATACATGCGCATGATTTCTTGAAGTAAATTGTAATCATTCTGTCATTTGCATGTTTGGTTCCCGTCAGTTTAATTTAATTTGGCCTGAAGATGTAGGACTTCAGGAATGTTGGTTCTGTGATCAATTGGCATAACAGAGTGCAGAAAAGATAGAATTTTTTTAATGAACAAAAAGTTGGGATCTCTCCTGACTGAGAATAGTGAATTCCAAGACAATTTATCTGGCCTAATGGACATATGAATTGGCTGGGTAATCATGTATCACAGATTATGAGATTTTGTTTACAAATGCTGCTTTCAACTTTAGAACATTGATGAGACTTTTTTTTAAATTTCACCCTAGTCAATTGGAGTCTGGGTGATGGTAGTTTTACTGTGCATGGTTTCTTTGAAAAACTTGGAATAGTAACAGGATTTGATGTTAAAGTGAAGACAGAGGAATTAACTGAATTTCAATCCAATTTTTGTTTGGATGCTGTTGTTCACTTCAATTCTAGACTTGAAAATCTCCCAGTGACAACTGCAACTAGGTAAAAGTGACTTGTGTGAATTACGGTACTTCAGAGCAAATTCTTTATGACAATGAAGCTCTTCAGCAGATCCCAATGGTCAGTTCTTTTGTCAGTTACAAGATTTAACTGTCTATGTACATACTGCACATGAGAACATTTACTTTGAATGAAGAAATAAAATTGAGGCAAAAAAAGCATAGGATTTCTGAAGATAAAATGACACAAAAGGCCATAAATAATTGAAAATCTGTATGGAACTGTGAATTTCAATTTCTAGCCGCTGCACAGCACAACTCATTCGAACACCGACAGTTGTGAACAGACAAAATCGGAATGATCATTTCTGCAGCACTAGCTTCTGGATATGACATGACTTCAGCTGACAATGTCGCTCCTTCTATCTTTCTTCGTCTTCTTTGCAGATGGAAATTCATCACTCCACAAGGAGTTATCCACATCCAAGTTAGAGCCTGAAATATAAGTTGGGAAATAAAATATGATTTGCCAAATAAATTGAAATAAAACATGAACATCCACCCTGTTAAAATTAAATTGACAACTTTCTAGCAACTGATCTGTTCCAAATACAGTGAGACCCCCACATGCAGATGCCTTGACCTGCAGACAATTCAACATAGGGACACTTATTTTCCCAGAAAAAAAATCAATAAATAAGGCCTGACATGAGGACACTGACTCAAGATAGGGACATTTTGTGATAAAATTGCAAATACATTTCCAGTCAAATTACAAGAAACAGATATTTCCGACCCTGAAATTGATGTAAGAAAAGTTCTTGGGCATTTCTCTCATCAAATTACCATCCATTTAGCAAATTAAAAAAATGAACTCCAAAATAGAGGGACTTCTACTTTTTTTCTCTTGAATGTTATTTTTGTAGATGCCAAAATTTCAGTGTACAGAGATACACTATTCAATGCTCCAAATCTTCTTATTGAGTTGAAAATTTATTCACTAATTCAAATTCAAGTGGCAATTATTATTTTTAAGGGAATTCTGAAGAATATTTCTTCCATAAAATACCAATAAAAATTAATTATTGTAAGTCTATGGGAAAACAAGACTTGACTTAAGGACACTCTTGATGCACCAATTACATCTGCATCTTGGGGTCTCACTGTACTTCACAGTAAATGGACCTGAAAATCTGATCAGACCTGAAAATCTGATCAGATATCAAGAAAAAGCAGCAAAAACTGAATTCAATCACCAGAAATACGTTTTTTCTTCTTTTTCGCCTTGGAAACATCCTCCATGCCACCATCACCAGGCTTCTCTGAGACTTCCTGACTCTTTTTAGTCCTCTTCTGGGTAGGTTTCACTGATGTTTCAACATCGATTTTCTCCCTGGAAACTTCAACTGTGCTATGACGTCGCTTGACTGCAGTTTTTGGTGCTTCAATAGATTCATTTGTCTTTTTGACGGAAGACTTCTTCGGGGAGTTCTTTGGGAGACGCTCTGGGCTATTCCTTGGACTTTCAGGGACTTCTCGAACAGCTTGGGCAGCCGAGGACATTTTCTGAAAAAATTTTGACTTCTT